AGAAAGCTCTGTGAAGTTGCCATGTGGGGTCTGAACTGCATGGAGCTGTCACCTAGGCTGAGAGAGCCTGAATAGTCAGTGGTCTGAGAGACCAAATAGAACAGAGATCCTGCTAACCAGAGAGCCAGGTGGCTCTATATTTTCACTGTGTATTACTTTGAGTGAAGTTGAAACCCCTGAGTGGGAAACCTTGTGTCAAAAGGACTTTTCTGTTACTGTTTAATAAAAGTGGGCTACCAGGCCCTTAATTTGAGTTCCTGTCTGGCATAAACTCACTTGAAACGCATCTGTCACTGAGCTAAGCATCCCCATTATCACAAGATAATGATGTAATGACAGAAATGGGTCAAGCATTTGATGTGCAGCAAAAAGGTACTTTTATTGTGGTAAGACAGAACCCCTCAGGAGGGATTTTAATTGTCTGTTGATCTCCAAAAAGCCTTTGATTCCGTTTCCTATCATACTTATTTACTTTGTAGTAACGACGGGGAATGTGATCACTTTTTTTAAGGATTCTGAGAGCACTTTATTCAAACCCCCTAGCCCATATTTGATTGCAAGGCTATCAATTGTGATTGCTAGAGGTAAGAGACGAGGGTGTCTGCTATCCCCCTAGTTTTTGTGGTCACAATAGAGACTTTAGCAAAAGCCATTAGGTCACACTCTGATATCCATAGGGTTTGGTGTGGTTCTCAAATCCATAAACATACGCTATTTGCAGATGATCTTTTTGTGACGTTGCTGGTTATCTCAATGCCTAATATTTTTTGATTGTTACAAGAATTCAGAAAGCTTCCTGGTCTACATGTGAACATGTGTAAATCTGTGGCTCTGAATGGTAATATTCCTGCTTTGCTTGTTGATCGCCTGAAAGAACATTTCTCCTTCATGTGGAGTGACTCTTTTATTCCATATCTGGGTATCCACCTCACCTCCAGCATGAAATCTTTGTATAAATGTAATTATAAGTTGAAAGTGGATCTACAACAATGGTTACAGTGTAATATATCCTGGTTGAGCAGGGATAACATAATTAAAATGACGTTGATGCCTCGCCTGCTTTATTTTTTAGCTCCCTCTCGTTACCTGTTAACTGGGCACAGTTGTTCCAATTTCAAGCCAAGATTATTCAAAACTTTTGGAGCCATGAGGGCCACCATCTGGATAAACGTATTCTATATATGAGCAATAAGTATAAAAGGCTAAAAACAAAACCTAGGTGGCTCAGGGCCAAATTTTTTTTAAAAAAAAAGCACTGGGGCGAGCATTACACTGTCAACCACAGTCCTTTGGCTAATCAGAGTGATCACATGAGTTTACTAACTTCTGGTGACTCATATAAGACTAAGGGGTTAAACTGCAATAAAAAAAAAAAAACACTCCTTGCTGACTGGTGTTTGCTTTTGCATTGGTACATCTGGATTCTACAAACAGTCAACACCAAATATCCTCTGAATCATTGTTGGGGCCCTGGAGGTAGGGTAGTGGTCCTTGTTCCTCATTCATTAGAAAAAGGTACTTTGTAACAGGTGATGGGGATGCTGTCCTCCTTGGCAAGGTCTCCCATTGTATGTGGTCTAGTCTGGTATAGGAAGCGGGGGCTGCATGCTGTCCTCCCTTTCCTTGAAACCAGGATGCATGACTGGATAAGGGTCTATAAATATAATGACTCTTTCCTTATCCCCAAAATTATACCTTTATAATTAAAATATCAAATTATAACATAATAATATAATATAAATAATGTCCCAAAATGTCTCTAAAAATTCAAATCACTTTCTCTTCCACCTCCATATCATCTCTTGTGATACTTTGTACGAAATTCCAGATATAATGATCCAACGTAGAAAAACCCTATAGAGGTAATAATCCGCTTTTCAAAATAGTAGATGCTGGCACCTCCAAACCTCTTGCAATTGCTTTAGGCATACATCCATATCCCTCATAAGGAAAATCAATAATTAGAGGCTTTGTAATAAAAGGTATAATACTTTATTAGCAAACTTACATCAAAAACTCCAACTTCCAGCTTCTGAGGCATGTAATGAAACACTCCTCTGGCAAAAACCGCATGTTCCTTAAACAAAGATGGCCGCAATTGCACTTCCGGTAAAGCGTAATTGCGTCATACGTCACGTGTCCCGAAGCATTTCGTCACATCCTGGACTTTGTCATCAAAGGGATGAATTAGTTAGTAAAAGGGAGAGAGACGGGGGAGAATTAGGGGGAGGTTTTTTTTTTGCTCCCTCTACCTCGCTCTCTTCCCCTTCGCTTCCCTTCTGATGATATGGTTCCCCCTCCGGAGTTTCGGACTGGTGGGGGTAGTGGAAACTTTCTGAGTCAATTTGATAGAGAGAGGGAAACTGGGGAGGTTGGAGGAGAGGTGAGCCGTCCATGGGCGGAGGTCAACCCCAAAGTCATAAATCAAAGGTGGGAATAGACCCACAAATGATTAGTAGGACTTTTATAAGCCTAAAAAGGGGTAGGGGGAAAAAAAAAAGGGAGGGGGGGAGGGAAGGGGGGTAGGCTTGGAGAGTGCGGGGGGGGGGAGGGGATTTAGGGTTAAAATTCTGCATGATAGAGGGTGGTATAAAAGCAAGGATAGAGGAGGAGGAGAACTGGAGGAGAGGTAGACTGAAGAAGAAGGATGGAAGAAGTACAGTTTATAACGTATAATGTGAATGGGTTGAGCTTTCCCGGGAAAAGATTTAGATTATTTAAAGAGTTACATCATAGAGCATCTTCAGTGGTATTTTTGCAGGAGACACACTTTGAGATAGAGTCAAATGTGAAATGAAAATCTAAATATTATCCAATATGGTATTATGCTGACTCTGCAATCAAAAGAGCAAAAGGGGTTGCAATAGGGTTGGCAAAGAATATAAGATTTGAGCTGGAGGATAGAAAGACTGACCCGGAAGGGGAGATTCTTGTTTTTAAAAGGTAAACTACAAGGAATCAAGTGTACTTTAGCTAATATATACTGCCCCAATAAGAAACCGGAGATGTTTTTTGAAAGGTGTGTTGAAAAAACTGATGGATTTTAAAAAAGGCCGTTTGATAGTAGCGGGAGATTTTAATTTTTGTATGGACCCACAAAAGGATGCAACCTCTTATGTGCAGAGGGAAGGGGGTAGGTCTCTGAGAGTTTTGAAGAAGGTGATCCACGAGTACCAACTGGTGGACATCTGGAGAATTATGCATATGAAAGATAAAGATTACACCTTCTTCTCAAATGCACATGAGACATACTCAAGATTGGACTATATATTAATAGACCATCAACTTATTGAATTTTTGGTTAAAATAGAAATAGAGGCAAGGACACTCTCTGACCACGCACCTGTCGTAATGAAAATGGGTTGGGGAAGGCGGCGGACGGGAGGCTTAGGATGGAAGTTAAATGAGGCTCTTCTCCTGGATGAGGATACTGCTCAGAAGATTGGGGAAGAGATTAAGTTATATTTTGAGGAGAACGAGTGTCAGGAATGGACTTGCCAGTAATGGTGGGACTCACCTGCCTTGTGGGCTGCAGTACCAGGGCTGGCCAGCGGGTGCTCTCAGCAATCAGAGACTCAACCCTGCAGCCAGCCAAACACCTGAAGCTGATTATGCAGGTGTATTTAAGGGATGGCCAGACCTGCAGTCTGGGCCTTGGTGTGTATTTTTCCTGGGCCCCTGTATCTTGTTACCTGCATCCCTGTTCCTGTCTGACTGATTCGTTGCTGACCCTGCCTGATCCGGACCTCTGCTGACTTCTCCTGTTTGATCCCTGGCTTGTGACCCCGACTATTCTCTGCCTGACCCCCTGTACCTACCTGCCCGTTAGTTGCTGTACCTGGCTCGTGACCTGACTACTCTCTGCCTGCTCCTCCTATTCCTACCTGCCCGATTGTTATTGACCTGGCCTGCCTGACTACGCTTGCATTGTATGTACTGTTATCTGTGGGTGGTTTGGTTCGTTTGCACTGTGTTATGTTTTAGTATTGCACTGCGTTTATGTATTGTTAGTGTTAATAAATTATATTGTTTATAACTTATCTGAAGCCTGCGTTTCCCTGCGTCAGTTCACACACCTCTGGTCATACCCTGGAGCCCTGACATTACACCAAGGCCAATCCTGACCAGAAGTGGCTGCACAGGGAAGCCATCTTGGCTTGTTGCTGGGAAGGATGGATCTTGATGAGGTTGTGTATTTGTCGCTGCTGGTTTTTGATGACAGAGAATATGCTTATCAGACTCTGAGGGAGTATCCCCGGGATCAACTACTAGAATGTATATGGATCGCTCATGTTCTAGTAGATCAGGGCACAGAGTTCTCTGAGGTGCAACCTTTGATTCAGGTTTGTGTAGAGTTGGTTTCATCTGGTACCCCTGAAAGCAGGAATGACTTTTTGCCACCATTTAGTGCCGACCAGGTAGAGTCCCTGGTATGGTTATTAGAGGATGATGTGGATTACTTCTTGGAGCATTATGCTGCATGTTCACCACAGGTATTAAGGGATTGTATAAACGCAGTGCAGTCTTTGGTCAGACAGGCTTTGTGTAAGCTGAGCTTTGTTCAACCCATACTGCAGACATGGTCAGACTTGTTGCACCCAGCCTCAGTCAGCTTGCAAAAACCCAGTCCTGCTTCTAATTGATTTCTTCAAAGCTCTATTCCTGCATTCCCAACAGCACCTCCAGTTACAGCCCAGTATACTCTGCTATCTACCGCATGTCAGTACCCTGTTCCCACTCGCTGCACCTATCCTGCCTTTAACCCTGTAAAGAAGTCCTCTGTAGCAACTGCTCCCTCCCCTGTTCCATCCTCCAGCTCTTCTCTGTCTCCAGCTGCTCCATCCGTTTACAAACCTGCGCTTACTTACAGTGCTCCGGTAACTAAAACCAGGAAAAGGCAAAAGTTCTTTCCAACCAATACCATCCTGCCAGTATCCACACCGGTCAGCCTCCCATCTGAGAACCTGCCTTCCGTGGTGCAGCCTGGTGCCTCGGCGCCCACAATTCAGCCTGATGTCTTTACCCAGCCTGATGCCTCCATTCAGCCTGATGCCTCCATTCAGCCTGATGCCTCCATTCAGCCTGATGCCTCTACCCAGCATGATGTTTCTACCCAGCCTGATGAACTGATCCAGCCTGATGATCCTATTAGGCCAGTTGACTGGATGCCTGCTGTCAAGCCAGACGATCCAACGCCAGATGACCCGGTGCCCGCTGTCATGCCTGGTGACCCGATGCCCGCTGCCGGGCCAGACGATCCAATGTCTGACCCAGTGCCCGCGGTCATGCCAGTTGACTCAGAGCCCACTGTCGTGCCTCGTGACTTGGTGCCCACTGCTTTGCCAGATGACGCGGTGCCCACTGGCGAGCCAAATGACCTGATGCCTGGTGACCCGATGCCCGTTGTCGTGCCTGGTGAACCGATGCCCGCTGTTGAGCCAGACAATCCCATGCCTGATGACCCAGTGCCCGCTGTCATGCCTGGTGACCCGATGCTCGCTGTCGGGCCAGACGATCCAATGTCTGACCCAGTGCCCACGGTCATGCCAGTTGACTCGGAGCCCACTGTCGTGCCTGGTGACTCTGTGCCCACTGCCTTGCCAGATGACACGGTGCCTGCTGGCGAGCCAAATGACCTGATGCCTGGTGACCCAGTGCCCGCTGTCATGCCTGGTGACCCGATGCCCGCTGTCGAGCCAGACGATCCAACGCCAGATGACCTGGTGCCCGCTGTCGATCCTGACGATCCGGTACCTGCTGACCCGGTGCCCGCTGTCGTGCCAATTGACTCAGAGCCCACTGTCATGCCTGGTGACTCGGTGCCCACTGCCTTGCCAGAAGACGCGGTGCCCGCTGGCGAGCCAAATGACCTGACGCCTGGTGACCCGATGCCGCTGTCGAGCCAGACGATCCAATGTCTGACCCAGTGCCCGTGGTCATGCCAGTTGACTCGGAACCCACTGTCGTGCCTGGTGACTCGGTGCCCACTGCCTTGCCAGATGACGCAGTGCCCGCTGGCGAGCCAAATGACCTGATGCCTGGTGACCCGATGCCCGTTGTCGTGCCTGATGACCCGGTGCCCGCCGCTGGGGGCCCAGTGCCTGCTGCACCGCCTGAGGGCCCGGCGCTCCGCCTGGGGGCCCGGCACCCGTCGCTCCTCCTGGGGGCCCGGTGCCTGCCGCCCCGCCTGAGGGCCCGGCGCCCACCGCTCCGCCTGGGTGCCCGGCGCCCACCGCTCCGCCTGGGTGCCCGATGCCTGTCGCTCTGCTTGGGGGCCCGATGCCTGTCGCTCTGCTTGGGGGCCCGGTGCCTGCCGCCCCTCCTGGGGGCCCGGTGCCCACCGCTCTGCCTGGGGGCCCAGCGCCTGCTGCTCCGCCCTGGGGGCCCGGCGCCCGTCGCCCTGCCTGGGGACCCGGTGCCTGCTGCCCCTCCTGGGGGCCCGGTGCCCGCCGCTCTGCCTGGGGGCCCAGCGCCTGCTGCTCCGCCTGGGGGCCCGGCGCCCGTCGCCCTGCCTGGGGACCCGATGCCTGTCGCCCCTCCTGGGGGCCCGGCTCCCCGCCTGGGGGCCCCGCGCCCACCGCCCCACCTGGGGGCCCGATGCCTGTCGCTCTGCCTGGTGGCCCTATGCCTAGTGATCCGGTGTCCTGCCCGATGTGCCGCTGCCCGGAGTCCTGCCCGATGTGCCTCTGCCCGGAGTCCTGCCCGATGTGCCTCTGCCCGGAGTCCAGCCCGATGTGCCTCTGCCCGGAGTCCAGCCCGATGTGCCTCTGCCCGGAGTCCTGCCCGATGTGCCTCTGCCCGGAGTCCTGCCCGATGTGCCTCTGCCCGGAGTCCAGCCCGATGTGCCTCTGCCCGGAGTCCAGCCCGATGTGCCTCTGCCCGGAGTCCAGCCCGATGTGCCGCTGCCCGGAGTCCAGCCCGATGTGCCGCTGCCCGGAGTCCAGCCCGATGTGCCGCTGCCCGGAGTCCAGCCCGATGTGCCGCTGCCCGGAGTCCAGCCCGATGTGCCGCTGCCCGGAGTCCAGCCCGATGTGCCGCTGCCCGGAGTCCAGCCCGATGTGCCAGTCTGTGATATCCCGCAAGCTACCAGACCTGGGCGGTGGAACATTTTGCCCAGCTAGGACTGTTTGGAGCGTCCTGAGGCCACTCCTTGAGGGGGGGGGGTACTGTCAGGAATGGACTTGCCAGTAATGGTGGGACTCACCTGCCGTTGTGGGTTGCTGTACCAGGGCTGGCCAGCGGGTGCTCTCAGCAATCAGAGACTCAACCCTGCAGCCAGCCAAACACCTGAAGCTGATTATGCAGGTGTATTTAAGGGATGGCCAGACCTGCAGTCTGGGCCTTGGTGTGTGTTTTTCCTGGGCCCTGTATCTTGTTACCTGCATCCCTGTTCCTGTTCCTGTCTGACTGATTCGTTGCTGACCCTGCCTGATCCAGACCTCTGCTGACTTCTCCTGTTTGATCCCTGGCTTGTGACCCCGACTATTCTCTGCCTGACCCCCTGTACCTACCTGCCCGTTAGTTGCTGTACCCGGCTCGTGACCTGACTACTCTCTGCCTGCTCCTCCTGTTCCTACCTGCCCGATTGTTATTGACCCGGCCTGCCTGACGACGCTTGCATTGTATGTATTGTTATCTGTGGTTGGTTTGGTTCGTTTGCACTGTGTTATGTTTTAGTATTGCACTGCATTTATGTATTGTTAATGTTAATAAATTATATTGTTATAACATATCTGAAGCCTGCGTTTCCCTGTGTCAGTTCACATACCTCTGGTCACACCCTGGAGCCCTGACAACGAGACAGAGGAGGTGTCGATTAGCTACTATCTGGGAGAGTCACAAGGTATATATAAGAGGAATCTTGATTGCGATAGGAGCAAAAAAGAAAAAAGAAAGGAGTGAGAAAATTAGTGGGCTTCTAAAAGAAATATTAGACCTGGATCAGGTATACAAGAATAAATAACAAAAGAAATAAGACAGAGGTTAATAAGCAAGAAAGAAGAGCTAGAGACGTTGATGGAAGAGGAGAGGAGGAGAGTATACAAAAAAGTTTTAAGTGAGAGATATAGATGGGGAGATAGACCAGGAAAATATTTAATGAGAGCCCTGAGTAAAAAGAAAAACAGGAACTATATAGATAAAATAAAAGTCCCAAGGGGGAGTTGGTCCACTCAACTAAAGAGATTATTAAAGGTTTTGCGGAGTACTATAGAAAGCTGTACAACATTAGTCCCCAAGGTTCTTTGAAAGACAATGAAGAAGTAAACATTGAAAAAAGGAAGAGTTATCTAAAAAATGCGGGTTTACCGAAATTAAGCGAAGCACAATTGAACTCCTTGGATGCGGAAATTACTCAGGAGGAAATAAAAGCAGCATTAAAGAGTACAGGGGCCGGGAAAAGTCCAGGACCAGATAAGTACACAGTGAAGTACTATAAAAAATATAGTGAATTATTGTTACCTAAGCTGAGGAAATATATGAATGCTCTGGGAGGTGGGATGGATGTGAGGAGAGAATCCCTACAGGCCCATGTAGTACTTATCCACAAGGAGGGAAAAGATGCTTCTCAGTGCTCTAGCTACAGACCAATTTCATTACTGAACACTGACACAAAGCTATATGCAAAGGTTCTGGCAAATAGGTTGAAAGATTTAATGCCTAAATGGATACATGGGGACCAGGTGGGCTTTGTTCCAGGAAGAGAGGGTAGAGATAATGGGTTGAGAACTTTGATGCTTATTCAGAAAAGTAGAAAAGGGAAAGATCCGGTGGTAGTGTTATCAATAGATGCCGAGAAGGCATTTGATAGAGTAGACTGGGGCTTTATGATGGATAACCTGGAAGTCCTGGGGATAGGAGAGAGAATGCGAGAGTGGATAGGAAAATTATACAGGGAGCCTACCGCGATTATTACGGTCAATGGGGAGAAATCGGAACCCATTAGGATGTCAAATGGTACAAGACAGGGTTGCCCATTGTCCCCTTTGTTGTACGTTTTGTCATTGGAACCCCTATTGTCTACGATAAGGAAAAGCGCAGATGTAAAGGGAATTCAGATAGAAACCATAGAACATAAAGTTGCAGCCTTCGCGGACAATTTATTGTTATATGTGGGGAACCCCCGGATAACACTCCCAAATATAATGAAGATTTTGAAGGAATATGGAGAACTATTGAACTTAAAAATTAATCCAACAAAAACGGAGATTCTGAATATTAATATACCAAAGGATGAAAAAGAAAAAATACAAAAGGAATTCCCCTTTATATGGAGAGAAAGAGATATAAAAATACCTAGGAATAAAACTTACTGCTTCATATAAGTATTTGTATAAACTAAACTATATTTCAATGGTAAATGAGATTAGGGAAGAATTAAAAACGTTAGAAGGAGGAAACCCGTCATGGATAGGACGCATAAACCTAGTAAAAATGGTAATTCTACCCAAAATACTCTATAGATTTCAAATGATCCCAATCAAACTCCCAGAGGCTTTTTTTAGGATAATAAAAAGAATGTTAACAAGATATATATGAAGGAATAAAAAACCAAGAATATCATATGAAACATTAAGTAGGAACAAAGAGAAGGGGGGGTTGGGATTGCCAGATGTTAAGAGATATTACAAAGCAGTAATCCTGGCAAGAATTTATGATTGGACATTTAACTTAGAAGGGAAAAATTGGGTGAAAATTGAAAATGAACTTAGTGGAACTAGCTTAAGTAAGATTATATGGGTGCCAGCACAGTATAGAGAAATTAAAGATAGCACAAGTCTTTACACTTTAAATGTTCTAAGGGTGTGGGATAATTTGCACAAAAATATGAAATGGGATTTCAATTCTATATTAATGCCATTAAGAAACACGGGGTATTTCCCTCCAGGTAAAGAAGAGATAACAGGAAATGGTTAAAAAAGGAAGATGTTCAATTGAGAGATGTTTTGACAGAGGGGGAATTGAGACCATTAAAAGACTTGGAAGAGAAAAAGGGAGAGATCTTCATTAAGATGGGAAGCACGGTGTTGCCAAAGTATATAGAATACTCACTGAATTAGACACGAACACAAAGTTAATTTTTATAACAAAATGGGAAAGAGATATGGGAGAGGTTCTAGATGAGGACAAACAGAAAAAGATATTTAGATTGCTTCACGAAAATATAAGTATGAGAGAGGTGGAAATAAATTATAAATGTTTGACAAGATGGCACATTACACCGTATGTTGAGCATAGGATGAGTGGGGATAACTCTAAGTGGTGTTGGAGGGGGTGTGGAGAGATTGGCACAGTTTTTCACATGTGGTGGGAGTGTCCGAAAATTCAGGCTTTCTGGAAGTCAATAGTTAAAATGATTGAGATAATAACTGGGATCGACATAGGGTTAGACCCAATGATATGCCTCTTACATAACATCGAGTTATCAGTAAATAAATATAAAGAAACAGGTTTATGGTATTATCTAAATGCTGCAAAAGGTTTGATACCCAAGTTTTGGCAGAAAACAGAGGTGCCGAAAGAGGAAGACTGGGTTAATAGAGTGAACCAGATTGGTAGGATGGAAAAACCTTACCATATGCAGGAAGATAAGATGGGGATGTATTATAAGAGATGGGAAAAATCTGAAGTGAAAGAGAAATATAGGAAGGTTTAGTCTAGACGATAGATAATGTCTTCTTGCTTCAAAAGGAAAGAGTGGTTTAGCATGCAGAGGGGTGGGAGCGGGGTGGGATTGGGCCGTGGGGGGGATGGGGGTGGGGAGTGGGGGAGAGGAAATAGTTTTAGAGGGAAATTGTAGAAATGTATTGGATATTTATGTGTATTTTAATTGATGGAAATTTGTAATAATATGAAAAAACAATAAACATTTAAATAAAAAAAAAAAACCATTTCACATACATTTTGTCCCGAGTGCTTTGTCCGGCGCCCTTCAGCATTATTACTGTTCTTTCTGCCTGGAAACTGAGAAACGTCCATGGCGTCCAAAAAGCGTCCCTTTAGGTCAAAAGCGGTTTTAGACCGGCTAGAGAACAGCGATAGTAAATCAGAACCACTTGCAGAATTGAGTGATAATGATTGGTGGGGGAAATTCCTCATCAGACACTGAAAACGATTCTGCGACTGAGCTCAGCGATGTGTGAACTTGGCGCTATATTTCACATTTCTATTTTGTATTTCAAATTTTATCATCCTCGGGATGTTTACTAGACTCTTGTTCGGACAGATTTCAGTGAGTTATTTCTAAAAATTACAGGC